TTCCTCTCCACGTCGCGAAGGTGTTCTCGGAAACGGTCACCTAGTCTTCTGCTTGTTTCGCCGATGTAAATCTTTTTGCAATAAATGCAAGTTATGCAATAGATTACATTGGCAGAGGTGCACGTGAAGTGATCGGTGATCTTAATGGAGCGTTTGGGTCCCGATATTTTCTCAGTGTTGTGAATGAAAGGACACGTTTTGCATCGTGCACGAGCGCATTTAAAAGTGCCTGGTTGAATCAGTTTGAAGATGCCTCTACGCAATTTCACCTTGGAATCTTGTATGTTATGCAAAAAGAAAAATTTCAAAAAAATTAGAAAAAGCATTGAGATTAATCGAGATTTTTTCAAATTATTTCGAGATTTTTAGATATAAATATGAAATTAATGGCAAACTTTTGGAGAATTTATGGAGAGATTTTTTAGGTCTTTATTCGGGATTTTTTTATCTAGCCTCTGTTTTCACTGAATTTGTTTGACTCGCGCGACGGATTCCGCCGAAAAGAAGGGTCTGCTTATGGTCTACATGATCCACGTTATCGTGTAACTTTCTGGTTTCTGATCCTTCGTAGTTTTATAAAAAAAATTCCCTTTTAGCTAAACATTGGAATAACACCAACCTGCTACTGGAAATTGTCACAAGAATTTTTTTTCCTGTTTCAAGTGCCGTGGCAAGTGTGACAACAAATAGTACAATGCATGAACAATTTGAGATGGCAGGCTCAAAGTAGCCCATAATTTAGGACTCTGAAACCCCTCGGATCCATATCAGTACGTGCGTGCGACTTTTTTTGCACCGAAAGTGTTAAAACTATTCATAAAGTAGCTGTTTTTATTATCCAACTGTGCTTCTCAGAGTATAAATAACGCCCAAAACGAGTACAAATATCTCGCGGTTTTTGTACTCCAGACAATCAGAAGTAAATACAAGTCCACGCAATTCGCCAGCACTGAAATAACAATTTGGCGTGTTGGCTGATAAATCTCTTATAAGACGTTTTGTTGTATAGTATTGCGGAGTGTTTTTTTCTCGTTGTTTATATTTTGACTCGCCCTACGGGCACAACTCCTAAAAATACTCAGCGATACTTCACAACAAAACGTCTCATACGATCTATGTATCCGCAAACAGACGTCTGATCGAAGGGCAAATGTAAGATCTCATCCCCCTGCAAGGCTAGGTATAAAAAAATGAAATAGTTTTTCTGCACCTCTCTGAAGTGGTCCGCTAAATTACCTTCACTACTTGAAAGGAAGGAATCCCTAAATGCACCCACACAAAAAAAGAATAAACGGGTCTTACCTCCTTCGCGTGTCTCCCCAATAAGACAGCTGAACACTCGTCAACGAAACTGGCGTGGAATCAACTGTTCAGAATCGCCGACAAATTTTCGCTCGTTTATTGTTTCTCACACTCTATTTAGGCAGTTGCAGCTTTAAAAAGTGCTCTGGGGCAATCCTTTATTGAGTAATATGGTTTTCTATCTGGGTAGACAGCGCTTGTGTGTTAGGCTCATAACAAAGCAGAATATTACTCAAGTCGACTGTCGCATGTCGGTAGAAGTGATCCGTATGTGCATATCTTAAATCTGACAGTTTCAATGACAAGTATTTTTGACACAAGACGTGACATACGAGGATGAACAAACTTTGTTTAAGAGATAGATACAAGGTGTTCATTTAGAGAAAACGCTTAATGCCCAAATCGCCGCCTGGTTAGCTCATGTTGTAGAGCGCCGACTGCCGTGCGGAATTGATTCTGATATTGTGGACATCTGCAAAAATCTCCTTCAAATATTCCAAACTGCTCAGTGCAGTCTGACCAAAGTTCACAGAAAAATGATGTAAAGCGCCATGAGCTATAGGATATGGCGCTAAAGAAATCCTTATTATTATTATTACACTGTATTGTTATTATTATTATTATGCACTGTATTGTTATTAATATTATTGCACTGTATTGTTATTATTATTATTATTAGTATTATAATCATTATTATTATTATCATTATTATTAAATCAAATGAGAGACTTTAACTTGAAATTACCTACTCACGGCTACTATTGAAAGTTCAATCGTCATTTCCGTCGATCTGCCTTACGAAATGTGGTGACGTGTTAAATTAAGTCAGACATACCGAACGAATAGAAGGAAATGAATGGCGGCGACGAACAGCGAATGAGAAAATTTTCCATGAATTGAGGTACACTAAGGCCTGTATCAAGCGGTCATCCGCAGGTTATTGGAGGTTAATTCCGGTTGACTGCTTAATGCTGGTCCCACAGAATAGGGGTATTATAAAAAACGATTAAAAAAAATGCCATTTATGCCATGATTGATCACTTCACGTTCAAAAACTTGCTCAAAAATACTACTAACATTAATTTTGGGGATCAATATTACCGTCTTGAAAGATTATTCTTAGCTTTATTCGAGTAGTTCTGCTCTAAGTGACCCTTAAAAAACCGGGTGGAAGGCAACACAAACAGGCCGATGGGACCCAGTAAAGGGTGACCACGACCGCTTAATAGAGGTCAAAATTTCAACTTGGGGAGGGAATCACCTTTCTCTCTTAAAATCGGAAACGAACGTTATGTAATTGTTTTCTTGCACCTGTCACGCATCGCTCTTCGTTTCGCATATGGCTGTTTGCTCACAGAAAATGAAAAACACCCGTCTTTTTTCAATTAGCCTCGCTGGCCCGTGAGTAAGATTGATGTATTGGCGAACAGCGACGAGATTGGCTCTTTCAGATTTTAGCAATAAGAAACTCCCATAAACTTCGCACAAACTTTTTCCCTTTTTACTCGTGGATATGCAAAACATAGGAACGAGTCATGTGTACGATTAGTAGCTCCTTTTCTTAGCCCCATCATCCCTCTAATCAAGGCTAAACTGTACGAGAACTTTTGCAATCACACGGGAATAATATAAAGGGCGCTCTTAGATTATGGACTAATCAAAGGACTCAGAGGGACGGAATACACTACAGATAGCCAATGAGAACCCAAAGAACGGAATAAAGCACGAGAAAAAGTGAGTACTGATGTCCCGATTGGTTTTTTAACTACGCCTCTAATTGGCTACGAGGGTGAAGCAAGTTGTTTTGTTTTTGTTTTTTTCAAGATTAATTACATAGCGAAGTTAACTCTTTACGCAAACATTAGAATTCATACTCTGTTCCAGTCTCTCTCTACATTTCCTGTGGTAATAACAAGGAGAGTTTGTATGACAATCAGGAGCTTCTTAAATTACATTTGATAATAATAATCTATAATCAATAATCCTTTGGTATCTATCATTATTCCATTGCAATTAAACTGACAGATAATTTGTAGGGTTTTGTTGATTGTTGAGCAAGGGCCTATCAGCCGAGTCAGTGTCATGTATGGTGGCATCGTGTGCGCCGGGTACAGCTTGAGCAGGATAAACTTGTTGAAATGCGGTCTGTTTAGAGTAAACAGATTGGCTAAAGACCTTCTTTTTCAGCGTAAATTGAACAGAGTTTGTTTGAGAGACGAAGAGCCATCTGTAAATCCAAGAGAACTGAAGAAATGTGGAACACCAGAAGAACTGCTCGTTCATCCAGAAGGGCACGGAGTCCTTTTTATGGTACAACACAACGTACGGATGGTGATTGGGCACGCTGTCCACACGTGAGAAATCAAAATGGCGATTCAAATGACGTGTCTTCTCAATCAAGGCCGACTTCTGGACTTCAAACGATTCTGTAGCCGTCCTATCAAGGGTAATGTCTATGTGAATACGAAGCCTAAAAAGTCGTCCATTTTCGGAGACCTCTAAATTTGACTCATCACACCAAGATGGGTAAACAAATGGCTGGCGAACAGTTTTCTTCCCAACCTTATTCCAGCGATCTTCTGATCCTTGGTATTCCTCCCGCCCTGTTGCAGGATTTGTCCGATATACAGCATCACGTTGATGTTTCCACTCGTACCTGTCAATCACCATCACAATTGACGGAGGCGCAAGCTGAAGGGACTTGATGTATTCCCATGAGACCATGTTGTGTAACGCTACTCTTTCACACGAGAAAAAAGCCTCCACGATTACAAACACTGCGCAGACTCCGCACATGGTAACAGCCCAGTAAAACGGAAAGGAACGCGTTTGGCCATCGCTTGTTGCCAGACATGCGCAAACTGCGCAAAGCCACACCCAGAATGTGAAATTCATGAAAATGGAGTACACTCGAACCATTAACATGTATCGATTTTGCATGGTATTTTCAACAGCTTTTAAACGCTCTGGGGACCCTGGTTGGCTCCTTTGAGAGGAACGGACGATTTTGACAAGCATGATGCCTAACCATATTAAAGCTGGGCAAAGAATGTGACAAGCGAAAAAAGCAATGACAAATATCATGAACCCTTCAGACTGATCAAGTGGGTTTTTATTGCTCGGTATTTTCTCTGGATTTCCTGTAGGGTATGGAAAAGGGCCTGGGGCGGGGGCTGAAGTATGAGGTGGTATCGGACCAGAAGTTATAGGTGGTGGGACTTGGCAAGTCGCCTTCGACTCCAGCAACCAGTTCTTCCTTCCATGATCTCGCTCGCAAACGTAAAACTCCACGGGCGAAGATCGGTAGCCTTTCGTGCAAAACGAAGTGGAAATGTCACCCGGACGATTTCCGGCGTGGACTACTTCAATTGAGTTAGCTGGAACTCCCGGGTTGGAGCATGCGTCTTTATTTTCACAGTACGGTCCATACGTAGAGTCCTGACAGAGACAAACCGTCTCATTATCAGCGGTATAAACACAACTACCCTGATCATTACAAGGCTTGCTATAACATTTGTTTTCGCCATTGGCGATTCCTCGACATTTTATTCTTAATCCACTTCCAGCAGTCCATCCCTTATTAGTCCAACTTTCCCAGTAACTTGTCACGTACTCTGGTCTATGCGCTGAATCTTTCGTACGAAGTAAATCGGTCCTAGATCCAGTATAACTGGAGCCAACTCTCCAGTAGCCATCACGGTAGTATAAATACCATTCCTGTCGGCTGTGTTTGAATACAGGACGGATCGACATATAAATGCTCGGAACTTTGGCGAAAAAGTCTGTTCGAGGATCATTCAGAATTTCAGCTTGACTTCCGGTGACGATGTCATTCAAGTAAACTTTGCCTGAGTTGCATCGAAAGTATTCATCGTCCACACAAACAGCCTTAACATAAGGTGGCCCTTGCACAGTTTTAAATGTATTTTCGAGTGGTGAATAGTAGGACCACTCTTTGACGACATCGCCGAACAAATCCTTCTCATTTAGCGAGCCTGACGACAACCAAGTCTTTGGATCAAAATCGTTGCTGAGACGACCAACAACACCAAATGTTTCTGTGACTTTGAGCCCGAAAGTGAAAACCTTTCCTCCTTGCGATGTAAGATCTCTGTAGTAGAAGAAGAGGCCCGAAGGAGTGTTGAGATAGACTGGAAAACCATCGTTGTAAGAGAATAACTCGTAGACTCCCTCCACTTGGACCCAGGGCATAACATTCTCATCGATGTTCTGGAAAAATATTTTTGAACACATCTTTTTTTGGGCGAAACTCGGCCCAATTAATGACAGGATAAATGTCAGAAAGAAACTTGAAAACATTTTTTAAGATATCACCTTGCTTTCTGTGTTGTCTTTGAAAGTTTTTCAGCTTTTCAAGTTGAGCAATGAAGCCACTGACAAACTTCGGTGCGTTTTGCAATCAGTCCTGCAAACCTGCTTTGACATGCTACAAAGGACCGGAAGTAAAGACAATATTGTCGTGACGTAAGCTGTACACTCCCTTACCATTTATAGCTCTGAGTCAGGACAATGTTACATCTGAATTCATCCATACACGAGTAAATAGTAACGATGATCTCCGATTGTCACGTTCCTAAGCCTTGCCTGTGCGTAGACTGGTCGTGTAAGATTACATGAACAAAATAATGATTGCCGGGTTACAAAGCACAACGCTAAATAAACGTGTGCGGTTTTTTGCCTACAAATTATTTTGCCTGAATACAGACCTAGATATCGAACATTTTAGGAAAAAGAGTCCAAAAATGAGTGGGATGGGAGAAATAGAGGACCAAAGCCGGCGAAATGAACTCGAAGAAGAGATGTCACGGTAATGTTGGTCAAATGTTGACTTAATGTTACAATCTATTTGTGTTTTCCAGATCTCCATTTAATGTCAGAACATCGGTAGTTTTGCTTGTCTCACAATGATAGACAAATACTTTAAACCTCCAGCTATAACTCATCGTTACTATTTGATACAACAGGTAGAAAGTTTGTCTCCACTGGGCATCAATCAATGTTGGTCTGTTATTCCTGTGGGTTGACAGTAGTGAAGCGTTTATTTTTCAAAATGGCTCTCATATGTCTTGTATTTGTTTCTGAATAATAGAACAACCTGAAAGAAAATGCTGTTACAGAGTCTGTTTGCAATTAATGTATTCTTAATGCATAAATCAGTGGCTTCCCCTCGGGGCCCATCCTCGTGAACCGAGGGGCATTTGCTGAGATTGTCAGATATATCTTACCCTAGGGTGTGGGCAAAACAAATAGCTGGTTTCTGGGGGTAAAATCTGCACTGTTTGTTAATGGGACCACTGGTCCTAATTGTTGCACCCTGGGGGCAAGGAAATTTGTCAGAATTCCCCTACCCTATACCTACGGGGATTTGATGAAGTTTGAATGGGCATTTGGGCTCCCAGGGGTGGGTCCCAGGGGATAGCCACTGATAGTGCATAACCCTTCAACTCTCACAGGTGACCAAGATAGAATTTCTCCTTATTATGTCAATACAGTATAAAGGTGACAAGTGATAGGAATAAAGAAAATATCAATTAGGGGATTATTAGTTGATCCAATACCAAATTCTCCAAACTAATATCAAAAGAATTGTATGGCAGACAATAAGGAGAATTACTTATAAAATCTTGGGAGTGAAAGAGTTAAGAGCGCTTTTTGATTGTGTGTTTCTAAAAACATGGCTCAACACTAACTTTTCAACTTACTAGCCAAGTGCCTGGCTGCAGGCTAGTTACATCTTAGATGTTATGACAATTTCAGTTTTTTTACTAGCCAAACTGGCTAGTGGAAATTGAAAACCACTAGCCAAAACTGAATTTCTACTGGTCTGTGGCTAGTGGGCTACCGTTAGTGTCGAGTTCTGTGAAAACTTAAGTGATTGCAACAACCAGTCAAGGTATAGGAAAATATCACAATCCAATCAATGGGAAGGTGGTGATTTGTATTAGTGTTGTCTACTAATTGCTACGGATGAAAAAGTTGTAGCAGGCACTAAGGAAAGATTAAAATACTCAAAGACTTTTTGCTGTCATCTTTATTATTGTGACGCCTTTGCTCTCTGATGCTTAATATTGACTTGCTGTTTTTCAGGTTTGAACAAGAAATAGCAGAGCATCCAATATCAAGGCCAGTTATAGCCACAAATACATTTCGTATGGCATCACAGGCAATCCAGAATGCAGCTACTGTTCCAGATGTTAAACCACAACCAGAAATATCTAATAATCAGCATTTTGTCCAAGGAGTGCACCCGCGTCCATTGTTGCAACCTCCCAATCCTAGTTTACGACCACCAGTTGTTCAGGGCGCTTTGAATCAAGTGCGCCCTCACATGCAGGGTCCGATCAGACATCCTGTGCAAGTCCCTCCTAATCAGTTACCTCGTCCTGGAATACCACATGCAATGTCATTGCCACCTAGGGTGCCTTCCATGGTACCCCAAATGGTCTCTAACCCTGGAGCCATGCCTGTTATGGGGCCTGTCGCAGTACCCATGGTCCCAGTGCCCATCCCTGTACCAATACCTGGTATGCCTGTGGCAGGGCCAGTTGCTGCCACAGCCGTGCCAATAATGACTCCTGAAGAGCAGAAAGAGTGGGGCTCAACATATTCACAGGCTGCGAACTCAGAGGCAAAGGATAAAAAGAAACCCAAAGAGAAAAAATATTTGAGGGTGGCAGGCAATCAAGTGTGGGAGGATTCGTCATTAGCAGAATGGGAGAATGGTAAGGTTGTTTGTGCTATGTTGTTGTATTAACCTCATGACTCCCAAGAGTGACTAGGATCTAATTTCTCAATATATTACCACCCCCTAAATCAAAAATTAAAGTCATAAGAATTCAGGAAATGATCACTAACCTAAGAAGCTTTTGATTGTTAAACAAATTCTCCTTGTCAGCACCTTACAATATGTAGTTAGAGAAGCAGAATATGAATACTACTGTGTTTAGGTGTAAAGGGTAATTGGGCTAGTGAGCTGAATATGGTTAGGCACCCTGGACTTGTGTAGGCATAGTTTTGTAACATCTACTGGTAAACTGTGCAATCAGTTCCACTCAAAGTTAGAAGTGTGCTGTTGTACAAATGTCTTTAGTGGTAACTCAAAATGGCAGTATTTCTCTATTGGCAGTTATGGCAGAATGAGGGGAAAGTAGCAGACTTATGATGATAGAAGAGCTGGCAGTTTTGGTGGGCTACAAGTGTTCACTGACAATTCTGAAATATGTGTATTTTTACTAATAATCTTTTGATATATTCTTTCCAGATGACTTCCGTGTGTTTTGTGGTGATCTTGGAAATGAGGTTACTGATGAGATACTCGCTAGAACGTTTGCAAAATATCCATCTTTACTAAAAGCTAAAGTTGTGCGTGATAAAAAGACAAACAAAAGCAAAGGATATGGATTCCTGAGCTTCAAAGATCCCAATGACTTTGTCAAAGCTATGAAAGAAATGAATGGTAGGTCTTAAATCATGTTTTTTGTGGACTGCGAGGGTTATGTCCATGTGAGTAAACTGTATTTGTGGGTCCAACAAAGAAACTTTACTGTTAATTCAAAGGCTTTTAGAACTTCTATAACAATATCCTGCCTTTTTGGTTAAGGTTGGTTTTCATATGTCGACTCAGGAAAATCCCAGGTGGTTAGCAATTTTGCTCTTTACCTGACCATCCAAGAGTTTCTGATGGATGAAAAACTTGATATCTTAGGCATTCCCAATTGTCTGGAATAGGTGGTGACAAATGAGAGTGATTGGAAGCATATTAATTTTTCTGACACACTTCTAGCATTAGGGCAATTTAATTACTTTTGATTATTTTTAAGTTAAAGTAATCTTCCAAAAAGCAGCATGATTGGTTCTTGTACAAGATCATGATGTGCAAAAATTTATTAAGAGTAGCAAGATGAAATGTGTGATTTAGGTACAGTAAGATGTTGGTACTCTTTATCAACGATATATAGTAGATGATTGATTCTTGTTCATTGGCAGGCAAATATATTGGGAATCGACCGATCAAACTTAGGAAAAGTACTTGGAAAGACCGCAATATAGAAGCTGTCAAGAAGAAAGCAAAAGAAAAGAAGCGTTTGGGTTACAGATAACAGTATCACTGAACAAATGTGAACTCTTCTGGAATGTCATTAGCTCCCTTTTGACCTTGTACTAAAGATTCCTTGTGAATATGATAGAGATTTTTGTGAAAGGCAAAAATTTAGTCTGTCCACAGCGGCACAAAGCCAACAGATGGAATGCAGTTCATGCTATTGTAAAGGCTGTAGATCATTCTTTTAGTTTGGTCACTCATTTTTGTATGACATCTTTTGTTATTAGTAAACTACCAGGTTTGACAAGGACTATACATTTTCAAATCAAAATTGACTCTTTCCATTAATTTTCATGCTTGTAAAACCCTATCAAGGAAATGGTTGGTTGTAAATAGTAAATACACTTTCCTCTTTTCTGACATTTGTGCTCATCCTTTTATTAGCTAGTAGATTCCATATACCTGTTCACATGTTCAGTAGTAATTTACAGGCAATGTCAAAGTCTGGTGAGAACAAAAGTGACAACCAAGGGACAGCGTTTAACCCCCAGGAATGACTAGTCTTACAACATAATCTCAGAATTGCACAAGAATGATCACATACGAAAGGAACCAATGATTGTTTGAGAAATTCTCCCCATCAGCACCTTAAAAAATGTTTGGAGAATATGCAAACTGATGTTAGGGTGTTGAGGGTTAATTTGCTGTCAGAGCACATTCACATTTCGTATTAGAACTTGACAAACATTTTAAAACAAGACATTCTTGTTCAAAGGAAAAGGAGGGTAAAATTAATTTTATCAACTGATAGCGTTTCAAGCGTTACGAAGGGAAGTGTGACAAATTAAAGTTACCCAGAAATTTAATTTTCCTCCCTTTTTTTTTTCTGCACTGCTTTCCTTAGCTTTTATGGATATTGACGTATACAACTAGCAAAGGTACTTTACACGGAAAGCTACTGCGAAACCAGAAACTATTACACAAAATTTAATTGGATGTTCCAGGACAAAGCACACGCTAAAGACCAATTAAAAATTCCCTTATATCGTGATCCAAGTATCTTCGTTACAATCCATTCGACATGTTAGCGTGATAACTATGACGCGAGGGGAAGATATACTACACTTTAGTTTCTGCAGGGTTTAATTCAAAATGGACCTTGTTCTTGACATGCTCGATCAAAATTTCTTTACACCGTACGTGTACCCCACAACGTGGCCAGAAAATGACTGCTACAGGCAGTTTATCTCGCTCTTCGTAATTACGAGCATCGGGGGCGTTATTATGTACTTTTCGTTCGCAACTTTCAGCTTTTTTTGTGTGTTCGATCGCGCGCTTATGAAACACCCGCTGATTCTAGAACACCAGATCTATAAAGAAATCATGGTGACCTTGAAATCAATACCGTTTATGAGTTTTCCCACGGTATTGCTTTTCCTTGTGGAAGTGCGAGGTCACAGTCGGTTGTATCTGCCAGTTAATTTCAGCTGGCCACATCTCGTCGGCGACATCATCTTTAGCACGACTGCCTTTCTCGTCTTCACCGACGCATTGATTTACTGGATTCATCGTGGATTGCACCATCGTTCAGTGTACAAATATTTGCACAAAGTCCACCATCGTTGGAAGGTGCCAACCCCATTCGCCAGTCACGCTTTCCATCCGATCGACGGATTCCTGCAGAGTCTTCCGTATCATCTTTACCCGTTTATTTTTCCACTCAACAAAATCGTGTATCTGGTGTTGTTTGTGTTTGTCAATATATGGACGGTGTCAATACACGATGGAGACTACAGAGTGCCCGAGCTGCTGCAACCATTCGTGAACGGATCTGCTCATCACACAGATCATCACCTCCTTTACAACTGCAATTATGGCCAATATTTCACTGTCTGGGATCGGATCGGTGGATCTTTTCGTCAACCGAGTGCGTTCCAGGAGAAGGGGCCAAAATTTGAGCTAAAGAAAACCGCAGATAAAATGGGATGAGTGTGTTTCTTAAAGAAAAGAGAGCATCAACGAACGATGTCTGCAACGCAAAGCGACATCTGATCATGTGTCAAATGTACAACAATCCCTGCATGTCTCTTCAGTATTTATGGATATATTATTCATACTTATTTATGAGATAAGAAAAGTAAACCGAAAGGTTATGTTGCACCACAAGTGGTGTTAAAATAACTGGTAAATTGTTCTCGAATGGCATACCACTTTTACCCCTGTCCTCTCAGACCGATTTGATCTTCCCACTGACTGATGCTGAACTTTGAACGGACTTTGACTCCAGTGGTTGAACAACACTGATTGAGGGATGAGGTGAAGAAATGTTCGAGGATGTGGTAAATTTTCAAACTTAGTTGTATCTTTCTTTTAACGTTTTTACTGTGTTTGTAATTTTTTTACTTTGTAAACACAATGATAATTGTGAAATGTGTCAAGAACTTTTATTATTTTACTATTAGTATCATTATTATTACTTACTGTTAGTCTTTCTCTTCTGATTTTTTTTTTTAGGAAGAAAATTATAGAATGTGTGAAATAAATTAATCATTACTTATAACTAGTCTCTTGGACAGATTTTTGTCTTCAGGAATGTCTGCATGAAGGCTTACTTCAATCTAATTTTCTAAGATAAAACAAGCTAATGACTGATAAATAGAGTGGAGCTGTGTTGGTGCAAATGGCTTCCAAAAAGATTGTTATCGGTGTCTTTTTATCAAGAATTTACCCTGGAGACTTTAAGGAAGAGAGGATTCTGTTTCTATCAAGAACTAGCGAATAGGCCATTTTACAGTTGTATACTTAGTTGCCAAGCCTTTGATTTGGAGTGAGGCTGAAGGTGACCTTGTCATGATAGAGAGCTGTATCTAGTTAGCATGATAACAAAGTGATTTACATTTGAAAGGCAGCAAGGTTTGTATCATAACAAGATCACCCTCAGCCTCACTCCCATTCAAAGGCTTGGCAACCAAGCACACAACTGTAAAATGGACTATTGTCAGGGATGCCTAGTAGAATGGTGGGGGGGGGGTAACTTAAAGTTGGACTGGCATCCCATCCAGGGTGGGGATTTAATATGCCTAATCACTTTATGCTATGGAAGCTGGTTAAGCTCTAGCTAAGTTAGCCACTTAGCTCAAGTACAAACTTTACTTTTGTTATCCCCTCCCTCTCACACTACTTGAATTCTTTAAGTTACACCAATAGTCCATTTTATAGTTGCCTGCTTGGTTGCCAAGCCTTTGAACAGGAGTGAGGCTATGGGGTGACCCTGTTATGATCCAGAGGTTGCTGCTTTTCAATGTAGATCACTTTGTTATCATGTAACTAGACACTTACAATGAATATATGAAAGTTGATATATTTTGAACTGTGGTTCTCCAAAGGTATGATGCATAAATAGCGCTCTCTACTGCGAGGATTGTGCATCATACGTAACTAGACACTGGTCTCTATCACAACAAGGTCACCTTCAGCCTTCAAATCAAAGGCTTGGTAACTAAGTACAAAACTGTAAAATGGCATATTTAGAAGAGGTTTGTAAAGGCAGAAGAATAGGGTTACTGTACATACCCTTGATCAATGTATCTGTTGAGAGTCAGTCAATACTTGACTGATATGTTGGTCAACACTCAGTTGACACTTGGTCAATATTCGTTATATAGTTGGTCCATGCTCAGTCAATGGTTGGTACACACTCTGTTGGTAGTCAGTTGATAGTTGGCCAATACTTGGTCAAGACTCAGTTGATAGTCGATAATCTTGATTGATACATAGACAGACTATCAACTCTCAACCGAGTATTGGCCAACTATGGACCAACTATTGTCTGGGTGTCAGCTGACTATTGACTTAGTTTCAATTGAGTGTCAACCCAGTGTCAACCAAGTATTGACTGAGTGTTGACCGACTATCAGTCAAGTAACCACCTCCCAGTTAGCTCAATGGACAGAGCGCTGGACTGTTGTGCGGGAGGTCGAGGGTTCAAACCCCGGCCGGACCAACACTCAGGGTCTTAAAATAGTTGAGAAGAATTTGCTACCTTTCTATAACATCAAGAAATGGTTAGATAT